TGATAAACCTAACCACTGACCTCACCGTAGGCTTACCAGGCTATTCCGTGTCTGCCTGTGTTCCCTTAGTGGGAAGAGTCAGACATGTCCTTGTTCCTTTTCCAGGCTTGGGAGCTTGGTGCTCTACACTGATTTGCAGCAACGTATTTTTCCCCTCACGGGGCACCACTTCTCACAGTGAGCAACTGCAGACAGCATAGAGGATGAAAAAAATTACTGAGAGATGAGACTTAGTTCAGTCACCTAGAGTTGTAGAGGGGCAATTTCTCAGCTGAGAGCGCCCAGCCATCAGGGAGACTCTGGGAGAAGAAAAAAGCCACCAAGCTGAGAACTCTCTACCTTGTATTTAGAATATCAGTGTCAGAGAAAAGAAGCAGGAGAAAGCAGTTTGGGCCAGGAGCTGTCTCAAGGCTAAGCAGTTCTTTGGGAAAGAGGAAGGACAATTGGCCAGACATAATATACTTTACTTATCTAAATTTCTTACTGTTTAACGATTCGATTCTCACACACCTGTGTGCTTTTGTGCCATAGTTTATTCTCACAGAGCCTGCATGTCTTTTGCCTCACCCTTTTATTATTTATGTACTTTTGACCCACATTTGAACCACTTACTCCTGGTAGAGCCTATGCCTTGTAAACACTGCAAATAGTGAATTTGCCTTTTCACCCCGCCTGTCTCCCCATGGCCTCTCCCTGATCCTGAACACCTGCTTTCTTTGGCTGGTTGTCATGACCTAGGAACATCCACTCTTCACCGGGCTCTGCCACTGTTGGGGCCACTGTGTGACTTCCTGAGACTGAGACTCCACCGCCACAGCACCTTTCCCAGACTCTCCCGGTCACTTCCAAGTGGCCTACATGCTCTCTTGGCCTAAGCAACCTTGGTACAGTTTGTCCCGACTTGAAGTGAGACTCTGGCTCAGGGACTAAAAAGGAGGGAAGCTAATACTCAGAAAAGCTCCACCGTGATTTTATGGTGATCCTAGCACCTTTTTAAGCCATGGGCTTGGCTTGCCAGAAGATCTGCGTTTAATTAGCACTCACTCTGTACGCTGCAGGCCAGTCACTCAGCTTCTCTGAACTTGAATTTCCTGATCTTTAAAGGAAATACTATAACTCTACCTTTAGCACAACACAGTCTCAGCAAGTTTAAAGGCATTTAATACATGTATGAAAGCGTGGTGCCTGACCCCATTAAGTGCACAATAAATACTAAGAGATTTTTGTCCCCTTCATGAGTGAAGTTAAGGTACAGAGCAGCCCCATACACACACACACACACACACACACACACACACACACAGAGAGAGAGAATGACTGATAAAACATATCAGGAAACAAGGCATCTTCTACCTGAGGATCAAGACTCACCTTGACTTCTGCTCCCTGGAGCACAGTTGTTAATTCCCTTGGCTCCCAGGTTCTGGACCTGCCTGCTTTAATTTACAAGATTGTGCCCAATGTCTTCTATTCTGGTGACACTTTTGAAAATGAGCTAACTTCTACCTATCTTCTCATGGCTCTAACCTAACTTAGCTTAGAACTGACCTCATTCTTGCCAGCCTTGAGTACTATACCTACCAGGTCCTTCCTATTTCTAGGGTCCCCTGTTCCTCTGCAGCACTCCTAAGCCCATGATAGTTCTAATGGACCCATCTCAAAAAGCAGATTCTAATATTTAAAAAGATATGAGAAGGATACAGGGGATTCAGGACTTATATATGGAGATTATGAAAAGACCAGATGTCTTCAAGGCAGAGAAGTGGGAAGGCCTTGATCACCATCCAAAGACCCCTATACAAAGGAGTGATTCCTAATGTTGGTTTCTTCTCTAATGCTGTTATGTGTAGAAAAGTCACTTCCTCTCTCTAGATGCTCTTTCTTCGTTTGGACAGTGAGGAAAGTGGGATAGTGTACAAATCTGGTTGGATAGCAGATTCTTATGGGAATCTGATTTTATATAATACTGTACAATGATTGAATCCCCATTGCTACCTAATATCCACTGAGCCAGAATCCCCAGAGCCCTGGAATCTGTGTTTTAAAGATGCTCGGGTAGTTTGGGGACCTCTGATTAGGTGATCTGCAAGGTCTCATCATGCTGTGACATTCTCCGATGTCTGTGAGACTCCAGACAGAATTAACAAAGGGAACCAACAGGATGAAGCTTGAACAAGGCAAGCCCACACGCAGGAGAAGCAGGGTAGCCCTTGCACAAAGAGCAGTAAACTCAGAAACTGCAAACCCCTGAGAGGTGGTGCTGGTGGGAAACATAAATTGATTCCAAGCAAAACTGGGCAGATTTATGAGGGCCAGAGGCATCTGAGAGAGCAGGGAGTACCTACCACCGTGCCCCAAGGGCTGCTGGGAACAGCAGAATTCTGGCTGGATGAATCATGACTCTGACCTGGGATGGCAAAGCCTCTATTCCCATGGAATCTGCCTTAAAAAGAGCTTCCTCTCTGGACCTTTCCATCAGAAACTGTTGAAAATAACAACAAAATTTTGTATATAGAAACCATCTGAGACTAATGTACGTCCACTGAATTGAGAAAATACTGGTCCTGTCATTGAGAAATGGTGCTAGAGTCCCTCTTTTATGGAGAGGGGACATAAATTTTGAGGTTGGGTGTCTGCCTCCCACAGCGAGAAACAGAACAAGTAATATACTTGTTAAACTGCATTCACCATGCATCTTGAATGCGGAGTGTTGTGCTAAGCACTTTGCTTAGGTCATAATTCAGAAAGTTTACGTATTGGAGGAACAATCTCCGCTTGTTCAGATTAGAAACTTAAAGCTCAGGGAGGTAATACAATACTACCCAGATCTCCCAGGTAGTCAGAGACAAATCCAGAATGAGAAAACTCGGCCCCTCTGAATCCAAAACCTGTGCCCTACTTCCTACTCACCAGATGTTCCATCTAGCCACGAAGTAGAAGCCCAACATCCTGGGAATGGCTCAGAACCTTAAGAACAGTGTCAGGTAGCCCGAGGTGGCTCCCATGAAGGTAACATGCTGAGGCAAGGTGCAAGCCTTCAGCTCTCTTTCCTAGCACACCCTTGACAAAAATAATATAATATTCTTCTATGTCCAGGACTGAGTTACATGAGCTTTCATTTTTCTCTCCTCAGACTAAAGAGACCCTCCACATCCAGGCTGCTTGCTATAGGCACAGACGGGGTCTACAGAGTAGGCTTCAGGCTGGGGGATAAGGAGAAGGGTGGGTTTCCTTTCCCTTTGCCTCTGTCCTTAGCTCCACCTTACTGAATTTGAATTCCCAGGTGCTACTAGCATGGGACCCATAGTCACAGAAACTCCCTGCCCACATTTTCTGTTATTAGAAACAACACCAGTCCTAGACACAGGCAGGAACCATTGATAGAACTCACAGTTTTAGAGTTTGCCACTTGACTATGACATTGCACACCTCACTGCTTCTTTCAGCATGCTAATCCAGCTCATCTTTTAGAGGAGGGAACTAGACCAGGGTCCCACCATCTGCCGTGGAAGAGGCTGCCCTGAAATCCAGGTGTTCTTGGTGATTTCAGAGCCCATGGTCTTTCCACTTCACCCCTCTAGCACAGCTCAGACTTACAGTTTGGGCTCTGGAACAGATAAATGGGCAGCTGACCAAACAAGCTCTATAAAAATACCTTCTGTGAAGAATTAGTCCTTGGAATTAACAGGTTTGTCTCCTGGACACAAATGGACCAGAAAGGTAACCATCAGCCATTCATGCCAAATGTGAATGAACTCACTACTTCCTAGCCCTTGAAGTGACCTTCAGAAATCAAATAGAAATCAACATCTTCACTTTAAAAAACAAAAGCAAACAGAGCACAAGTACCCAGTGTTGAGCAGCTGTATGCACTGGAACTCCACTAGAACTTTGTTTTCCTCACCTCAGGGCCAGGACCATGTTACAAAAGCTCACCACAGATGGCTCTGTTTTCAGATCATCAGTCTTGCCCAGTGTCCTCTCCATCGGATTATTTATAGTTGGCAGCCCAAATTAACCTCTTACATTGTCATCACTAAATTAGTCTGAAGTCTTCAGGAAATTTTCACTTTAATGTTTTAGTGACAAAAGCTACATAGCTGAAACTAATTTTTCCTTAATTTTTGTGGGTAGAATTTAACTTCGTGTATCTTTAAAGAGAAATAATTTTGGCAACCCGACAATGAGATTTTTTATTTTAAGTGCAAGTAATTTATCAAGATTATTCTTTTGAAAGTTTGTGTAAGTTGTAAAAAAATATTAGAATTTTAGGCAACAGACAATATGACAACTCCCCAAGGCCTGGCCTGGCTCAAAGGCAGTGTGAAAGGGTATGTCCAGTGATGGAAAACCGGGTGATAGAGGAGGTTTGTGCTGAATGTTTTGGTGCCCCCCGAAGCCACTTTGGGAGAGAGCAGAGTACAGCATGAAATGGGCTTGAGCCTCGGAAAAGCAGACAAAATTTGATAAAGCTGACCTGTACTTCTGTTTTTTATACTTTATATTACATAGGCAACATAAAAGCTACTCTAATTGTTTTGTTTTTGTTTTTTTTTGAGCCCAGGGCTCGAACTCGGGACCTTGCAGTTATAAGGCAGGCACAGTGACACTAAGCTAAATCCCCAGCCCTATAATTGCATTTCTAAACCTAAGCTGATTTTAATAAGGAAACTGAGTCTTGCCCCATCGAGGCTTGTCACCATGTGTCTGATAGGCAAAGCCACATCCAGGAGGTGTGAGGCTTCCTGCTCCCACCTTCCTGGGACCCTCGGTCAGTGGCGGAGCCATGGGACCAATACTGTGTTCAGTTTACTCTGCCCATCTCTCAAGCTAAAAGGTTCCTCTATGCGATGCCAACACTTTGGGAGCAGGTTGGAGGCAGCCAGAGTAGCACAGATTAAGCAGTGTGGTTTGCCAGTACTGCATGGGATGGCCCAGGGAGGCCTGTGGAGGAGGGAGGCCAGGCCAAGTGAGTGACTACCTCTCCTTTTGTGCCTCAGTTCACTGGCTGTTCACCACATGCGGGGCAAGCGGGCCCCACGGCCCCACTCAGACCCAGTGCCACAACGCCTACCAGAACTCCAACCTGAGCGTGACGGTGGGGAGCGAAGGGCCCTTGAAGGGCATCCAGATCTGGAAAGTGCCAGCCACCGACACCTACAGGTGCGTATGAGAGCCGGGAGGCTGAGGGGCAGGCCCCCTCCCTTGAAGAAGACTGGGTGCATGCAGCTGGGGTACCCGAGCACTCAAGGGAGGCTCAAGGGTCACAAACCCTGGCCCATAGGTGGCTGTAGATGACACGGCAGCAAAGGAAGATACATCCTTTGTCCTCCAGGAGCTCAGAGACTATAAAGATACGTGTACAGGAGCTAGCTTCCCAAGTATTGCCCATAATTATAACTATGATGGACTACTCTCTGAATACTACTTACTGCTGTTGCAATAAGGAAATGCATTTTAAAATGTATGGAAAACGAAAATGCAGTCCACATGAGTGCTGATGTTCTTATCCATGAGCTTCATTTTCTGGGCCTTCGCTGCCAGCACACAAGTGTCCCCTATGCTTGCCTTCACCTCAACCCGAGCTGGGCAGTTTTCCACCAGGACAATGTCCGGCAGGAGGAGGAATGACCCGTGTGCCACCTCAAGGCCATAGCTCTAAGCAAAGCTAATGATGCGTCTGGGCCTGGCTAAAACCCAGAATTCAAGTGTCTGATTCTGATCCTGTTCTGAAGTTCGTGTGTGTGTGTGTGTGTGTGTGTGTGTGTGTGTGTACTGGAGGTGGAGCCCAGGGCCTTTTGCATGGTAGGCAAGCACTCCACCACTGAGCCACACCCAGCGAGAATCTGAATTTCCACCAGTGCCCAGTTGAGGTTGACACACCCTTTGAGAACCACTGGGATCCATCCTACCCCAGACTTAAAGGAGCCTGTGCGGTCCTCACTCGGTCTCCTCCAAGTTCAGACATCGGGACATGGCCCATTGCCACCCGTCCACCCAGCAGCACAGAGCCAGGCTGTCCTTCATGATGTGTTGGTGCCAACTCCCCAGGGACTTGGTGGGCTGTGAGCTCTCCTTCCCCAAGGAAAGGGGCTCCTGGGTTGCCTGCTTTCTCTCTCCATCTTACCATGTCCTGTCCTGTAACAGCCCCATCCTTTGGGTAAGTGTGTTCCAGGCAGAGACGAAAGAGGTTTTTAAGTGACATTCTGGGCAGAATGCAGTCACAAGGTTTGGCTGCAATCAGGTTAGCTGCTCCAGGTCAGCCCCCACCAGTGAATATGCTAAATACTCTCAGCCACCCCTGGCCCACAACACGGAGTAAGCCAGACCGCCCCTTCCTGCCAAGCAGAAGCTCCATGGTTCCCAAACAGGGAGGAAGGGATTCCTGGGAAGAAGAGTTTGAAAGCTACCTGAAGACCCTGTATTCCTCCGGCTTTGAGCAGTCAGATGGGTGGCACTGTTATTGATGCTACTGATATTCCTGTGGTCTCATATGAGCAATCTGGAGTCAGAGATCTGGAGCCACAGATGTAAGGCTACACAACCAGTGACCAGAGCTGGGATTTGAATCCAAGGTGCTGTGGCTCAGAGTCTGTGCTGTTTGCACTAATGCCCACATCTGGACTCTGAGAGGCGTGAAAGAGACAGAAAAGGGTGTGACTCCAGGAGCCACTAACAGGCTCCTCCAGGAATGTCTGGAAATGAGATCCTGGGAGGGAAGGCCTGGCCAGCTGAAGGGATACTGGTAGTACACCCCATAGACAAAACTCAACATGCAGGAGAAAGCAGAGCAGCTGTGAGGTATGCAGAGACCCCAGTGGTAATTCCCCACAAACAGCCCATTGTGTCCTCCTGGCCCCAGCTAATTCCAGAGCCAGACTGGCCAGGCCTCCCCTGCTGCCCCTCCACAGAGCCCCACAGTCAGAAGACTGTGGGGTCCTCTTGGCCTGGGTCCCCCAGGACAGTGTGAATTAGGCCCTAATTGCACACTCGCACAGGTTATTCAGCCCCTCGAGGCTCTGTGTCCCCGTGTGTGAGAGAGAGTTGGACGCTCACCCTCCCCTCCTGGCTGTGGTGCCTGACACAGTGCCTGCACGCAGTGGAGCTCTCTGGCCATGGACAGGAAGTCAGCTGGAATGCCATGGTAGCAGGCAGCAGGCAGACAGCATTCCAGGGACAGACCAGTCCCATAGGCAGGAGTTCTTGGCTTTTCTGTTTCTGATGACTTTGCTCTGACTTGTTCGGATGGACCCTGGCTTTTGAAAGATTTGGCCTGCCAGATGAACTACCTTACTAAATAATAATTAATTAACTTCCCATGTATTATTAATCGCAGCCATATGTAAGTCTGATCAGGTTTCTGATCTACATGAAATGCCACTGTGCTGATAAAATCCAGCTAAAATTAGAGAACTGTTTCCTTTAGCTCTGAAATGTTGAGACTGCCTTGTTGCTCCCATCATTGTCTGGTGACTGCCTTTTTTTGAAACATATACAAAGACCTGGTTTTCTCTTCCATCAGTACATTTTGAAGTGTTCAGATTAGTAAAGCAGACATTGTAATCTGATTTAGGACAGCACCAATCAAAATGAGAGAATCAAAACAAAAAAAACTTCGGCTTTGAGTTGTTGTTATTGTTGTTTAATATTTGTGTTTTAGCCAAAGATTGGCTCAAATAGATATTTCTGACCTTCACCTCATTCTTGACCCTTGATGACACTCAGGGATTTAATGACAACCCACTGGTCACAATAACTTAGCAATCAAAGAATCAGGTAATTAATGACTTTCTTTTTAGACCACATCAAATGTCCCCAAGTCAGATTATCCACACTGAAAAGTCAATGCTTTTCTCTGGAGGACTTTTTCTCCTTTGTAATTATTGTTATTTAGTAAGTGTCATTCAGCCAGTGAGAAAAACATAGAACATGCCACAGGATGTGAGAAAAAGGTCTTTGGGAATGGAGGGAGAGAGCCGTGCCTGGTTGAATCCATCTATTCTGGAAGGGTGGCACTCAGCTGGTGCTGTCTGAGGCTCAGCGCTATGATGGCTCCTACTGGCTCATTCAGGAATGCAACTACATGCAAGTGGAGCATCTGGGGCCTGGGGCTTCCCCAGGGACGTGTTAGGTGAAAGCATCCTCACTTTTACTTTATTTTTTTTTTTTTGGTACCGGAGATCGAACTCGGGTCCTTGCGCTTGTGCAGCTGGCAGCGAAACCACTGAGCTTTGGTAATTTATCCTGGACCATCTCCCACCCTCTACTCGGCTGCCTACCACCACAAGGAAGAGGCCTGGAGAGAGAGAAGGGGAGGGGAGGGGAGGGGAGGGAGGAGGTGAGAGTCGGCTGCTGCTACACGCTGGGGTCTCTTCTCTTCTGCCACTTCTCTTCCTTCCCTGGATCTGCCTCTTCTCTGTCCGAACAGTAGGGGTCGGGTCAGGTGGCCACTCCATCTCTCCTCCTGTCCTGCTTTACAAGTCCTGGTATGCCTTGGTGAGCACACGTCTGGACGCTGTGCCTGACTCTAAGTGTCCAAAAGTAAATCCAGTCCCTGCCCAAGAGAAGCTGCAGGCAGCAAGGGCAGTGGCCATGGCACAAGCATTTCTGTGTAAGGAGAAAGAACTAAAAGAGATGTTATACAGGGCACTTCAGAGGGCAGGGGAAGGCATTTCACCCAGTGAGGGTGAAACTTTTAGAGCCTGAGTGCCAAACTGCAACCCCAAACCCACTTATCTATCACAAGTGCCGACACTGCAATTCAACCTGAATACCGAGGTTTTAGTTCAGAAAAAAACCAATAGGACATCAACATCTTTTATCTTAAAGAAAAACACAATAATGCACGTGCCATAGGTTCGCCACCGCTGACTCAGCCTGAGTTCCACAGCAGTTTCCTGCAGACAGAAACCTGAGCTTGGGCTGAAGACTCCAGAAGAGACATCTACCAGGAGCAGGCAGGGCCGGAAGGGCACAGCAGCCAGTGCCCACGCTGGCGCCAGAAGCCAGTGGGACAGTGCCTGCAGGGACTGTGACACCCAGGCTGGAGGGGCCTCATCTCCCAAGTGCCCTGAGCTCTTGCTGAGGCCACCAGGAAAGTGGGAGCCAGAAAAAGGAGCCTGCAGGCAGGCAGAGCGGGTGGGAGGCAGGGGCTGCTATCTGGGTAAGGTCAGAAAGGGGGACCAGGGCAGGGGACATGAGGGTGGAGAAGAGGGACAGGCCCAGAGGAGAGGGATGGCGAGGGCAGTAGGATCTGAGGAGAAGTGGAGGTGGGGTAGGGAGGACATTCATGCTTCCGGCCTGAGGGGTTGAGGAAGCAAGGACAGTGAGTGACAACTAAGGGGCCTGACTGAGAAGGAAGAGCCAGGTTAGGTGACAGGGAGAGGGCAGCTGGTTAACGGAATTGCCAGCCCCTGGTTCTGTGGACTACAGAGTCCAGAGTGCACCTGGGAGTAGGTGTAGTGGATGAGGTGGGAGGTCACTGGCAGGGAATAGAAAATCATGGATTACAGGGTTTGTGCCTGGGAAAGGGGCAAGAGCCTTTGGTCTCATTGTAAAATGAACATGGACAATGGCGGCCTAACTCTGAGGCCTGCCGAGGATTTAGAGAGAGACTGTGTGTGTGCGTGTGTGTGTGTGTGTGTGTGTGTGTGTGTGAGATGCCCAGTGAGAGGCTGTCAGTGCTCAGCAAATGTCACCTGCCACCTCTCACTGTTTCTGCCCTCTCCCCTTCTTCATCCCTCTCTCTCCCTCCTCTGGCCCTCTGTCTTTTGTTCCTCCTTCTCTTCAGTTCAGCATCTTTCCCAGCCCTCAGTCCTCCCCCTGCCTGCCCACCCCTCACAGATCACATATAAAACATTGGCTCCTGATGGCCGTTCTCATACAGTTCACTCACTCTGCAGACATAGAGGACAAGAGGCCTCAGTTCCCAGCCAGGGTCATTGACCTAGGCCACAGCTGTTCCTGGTGGTCTCTATCAATGATGCTCATTTCCTCACATGGCTCCAGGGACCACCATGTGCAGCTAGATAACATCATAATTCAACCCAATTCACAGACAGCCATAGAGCCCCCACTGTGTGCCAGTCACTGAACCATGCATTCACACTGTGTACTGGGCACTGATCTATGGAGCACCCACTGGGTGCTGGGCCCTGAGCCAT